ATTATTATAATTTTTATTTATTTTATATGTTAATAATTAAATACAATAATAATTTTAATTTTAGTATTATAAATTATAACATTATATTTATTTAAAAATATTGTATCTATTATTTAATTATTTTTTATTACAATCGGCTCAATTATGATAAATAATTCAATAAAAATGATATTTGTTGGATAAAGATAAGTATGATTTTAAAATATTAATTTAATCTAAAAGGTTAGAAAAAAAATATGATTTTATAACCACTAGGATTACATCTAGATCTTGTATACTAACATATATGATATTTATAAGAATTTTGCCTAACAAGGATTTTCACTAAAAAGTTAGTTTTTTTATTACGTGAAATTAATTTTAAACTTTACAAAGTTTGTGGTTTAATTTTTTAATGTATATATATCTATACAAAACATTCAACAAAAGAATTTTATATGACAAACTATAAAAAATAAAAATTTTACACCGATATTAAAAATTTATCCAATCAGTAGATTTGAATTTAAAATCTATCCATAATTAATATTTCAAATATTTATATAGATATTAGAATTCGATTATTGAAAAATCGAATTTTCAACTGTGTTACTTTTATAATTTATTTTTTGAATTTTTTTTCATTTTCTTTTAAATAAAAATAATAATAAAAATTTTCTTTTTTAACTTTCCAAAATAATAAAATTATATATTTAAAATATACATTTATATTTAATTAAAAAGATATTAAATATCATGTAAATTTTGAAAATTATTGAACTTGTAAAGTAAATAAAAGAAATAACTAAAAAAACATTAAAAGTGAATTAATTTAGTTTGGGTGCTAGCCCCATCCTAACCCTACTCCAGCCCACTTTATGTGAGGCGTTAGGGGTTGGGGCTTTTAAAAAGCCCCCTATTAAGTGGGCTAGAAAATTAGGGCTTGATTTTAGAAGGGGACGTCAGGATCAACCCGCCAGGGGCTCAAATGACACCTCTATACACATGTGTCAAAACAAGGAATACCGATAATTAACAATTACTTTTGCACGTTTTATCCTATCAAGTTGTTTTACTTATATTAACTCCATTTCTCTCTATTTCTTCTCTCTACACGTCAATTTATATCATAAATACTTGTGCAATTATTGTATTTTATTGGCTCATGCATACCATTTTCGTCTCATTCCGAAACTCTAAATAGAGTTTTTTTCTCGTTTTGTTTATTCATTTTCTTCCTTCAAGGTGCGCTTAGTTTTTTTTTCTTCATTTTTCTTTTGTCTCGTTTTTACAGGTTGGCCATAACCATGTATAAAGATTTTTCTGGTTCTTTGTTTAGGTTCATTGGAAGAATTCTTTCTTTGACGTTTTCACTATTTGTTGTGTTATTGTTTGTTGTTTTTTAAAGTTGTTCAAGCACTACACGTTCAAGTTCAAACAATACGTTCCAAGCATTATGCATTCAAACACTATACTCGTAGGTTTTTCTCGTTCGAGGTCATTTATTTTTTGTTGTTAAATCTTAACTTAATTTTGATAATTATGTTGATAAGTCTTCTATTGATATGCCTTGATGTCCTCGATGGGAGAGTCTATAGAAATACTTTGTTCCTTAAGTTATGTAAATGAGAATATAGTAATAAATGATTCTAGTGACATACCTCGTAAACAATAACTATATACAAGCATGGACTTTGTTTGTTGGACATAGGGTTAGGCTTACCTAGTTTTAGAGTTTAATAATTTGCTTAATTATCTTTATTCCACCTTTATTTAGATATGATTTATCATGCCTACCTGTATGGTTAAATATCTCTTCCTATGTTGGAGTATTGGTTAAGGTGTCTACGACTATATGGTTTATGTACAGAGATGTTTTCTTCCTCGACCTATTAGTTTAATAATAAAATGTGGAAGTTTAAGAAGAGGTACAAAGGATATTAAATAATTGTACGAAGGGAATTCAAATAGAATATCAATGAATTTTAACTCGTGCAAATTAAGGTACACAAGTTGTTGAAACATAAGGAGTAAAGATGTTTGGGCTTATTTTTTTAATATTAACTTAGGGTATTCTAAATATTTTATTTTGGAAATTAAGTGTAACATCTGTATGAAAAAATATGCAAAAGCAAAATACATTTTTTATTGCCTTATTAATCAAATAATGTTGTTATATAGACAATAGAAGAAGATATATTCTCTCTTACAAAATATTAACATAATAAGCACTTGTTAACTTTTTAACTATAAACCAGAAACCAACTAGTAAGAAATATTGGTCTTAACATCTCCATAAGGCGAATGAATATTAATTATTCCAAGCTTAGAAATTAGATATTGAAAGGTTGTCGCTAATAACCTAACATCTTGCGACATATCTAAAGCATATTTCTTTTATTAAGATGTTAAAATGGGCTAAATATGTTTTTAGTGTCTAAATTATCAAACAATTTTGAGTTTCGTCCCTCTTTGAAAGGTTTGTTCATTTTAGTCCTCTTAGTTTCGAAACTCTTATGTTTAGTCCTTAAAATTGAACGACGTTAAGTTTTCTTTGATGTGGCAAACGGCGAGCCCAGTGTGATGCCATCATTCCTCGTTACTTTGTCCACGTTTGATTGTTTCATTTTTCAAATCAGATTAAAGAGACTAACTTGCAAGAGAAAACAACACAAACCTTAACGAAGTTGCCAAGGGTCTTGGTGGATCCTCTAGAGGAGGTGAAGACATCATCAATTCCAGCGAACTGCAACACCTTCTTGGGAACCCTAGCCACCACGATTCCCGAACCCCGAGGTGCAGGAACATCTGTCACAATAAAGGACCCGCACTTTCCCGTAACCTTGCACGAAACGGTGTAGGGCTTTCCGATCTTGCTGCCCCAGTACCCTCTCCTAACGAGGATAACGGAAAGCTTGGTCAGAATGATGGCGCCATGAATTACGGTGGCCACCTCCTTGTTGCGAATAACATCGAGACCGACATGGCCATTACCGTCGTCGACAACAACGAAGGCCTTGAATCGGGTTCGTTGACCGACCCGGGTCTGTTTTTGAACCGGTGTGATTTTCATGACCTCGTCATTGAGGGTGGCACCCACGAGGGTGTCAATGATTTGGTGTTCCTTGATGGGAAGGGAGTGGAGGTAGATCTGTTCCAAGCTTCGGATTCTGCCCTCCTTCACCAGACGCTCGAGCTTCATAACAGGGACCCACTTTTCCTCCTCCTCACGGTGAGGCCCTTGACGGCGTCCATGATAACGGTTGAAAATATCGTTATCTGATATGCAATTGTGATAACAGTTGAAAAACTGTTATTTTCATGCTTAAAATTGACACTAAAAGCAACCTTTACACTTAGAAACTAG